TGATATAACCTCATATACTTATAAACAGAATAGTTAGTTCTACAAAACTCATAATTCTGGGTTTTTTTCCTCATCTTCCCTTGACTTTTTAGAACCACTGCCTTTGAGCTCTGCCTTGGATCTATGAAAGAATAAATTGACTAAACATTCTCTGTCTGTTCTTTACATTCCATGGCATGGCTTCAGGTTAACACTGGCAGCAGAGTAGAGGAAGTGGGGAAATAGAGCGTCAGCTCCATACCACCTCACACTTCCTAGCTACTCATTTTGCCAATGTGGTCAAAACCTCACCCACATGTTGGATAGAGGAAAGGTTGATGCAAGGAGATTATAGTTCAGAAATTGCCCCAGTCAAGTTAGTGTGCAACTAGGTGCACACTAGATTTCCCTGAATCTGGGGACAACTTAGAGTCATTCTCAGACATTGCAAATGATTCAAATCAAAAAAAAAAAGATGCAGTGTAAGGAAGCACAAATGATTCTTTTGGCATATCCGTCTGCTGTCAAGACTCAGGTCTACCCAAAACTACTGGTGAGACCCTTAGAAGTATCATGGAGCAGAAGAAAACAGTACAGGTACCTTTAGATCTTTTATAGCACCTAGGTTTCTTTTCTTTTTAATGTGAGTTATCTCAAATGCAGTTGAGAAATAGAAGTTCAATATAATAGGGAAAGCGTGCTGGTTTCCTACATGTTTGTGCTTTCAAGTGAGTATTTTGTCACTAGCAAAGATAAAGCCTTAGCATTTGTGAACATCTTCAGGGGAAAATGTCTCCTGTCCTTCCTCCCTTTAGTGCAAAGAGTGGCTGTTTCATTGGCCCCAAGAACTGCAGGGTTTCCCACCATGTTAAGCTCTTTAGAAAAGACAGGGGTGCTTGATGAGGAAACCACAAAGACATTTCCCCTTTGCTTTTTTATCTAGAATAAAATAATCTCTTAGCAGCACCTCCCCCAAAGGACCGACAGCTTGAAGGAAGAAGCACAAGCCCCAGGGATCCAGCTGCAAAGGATGGAGGCTGGAGAATGTAAACTGTGCTGGTCATTTTTCTATGATATTTATTGGTTTTATTGGTGCCCATTTCAGTGCTCCATAGGTTTGGACTTATCTGCCCCAACTCTGTTTTCCCCACAAGCCCTGATACTACCTGCAAGTGTGCAATTTTATAAAACTACAGTTGTAGATAAAACACCTGTATTTTATTTCAGAGTGTAGTCAAAACCCTGATCTGACCCGTGGAAAGGCAGTGGTCTGGAGCAGGGTCACTGGAAGGTTATTAGAAGGAATTGAATTGTGCCTCTGGCATCATCTGGAGGAAATGGCTCCTGATTCCTGGCACTGAAATATCTCTGATTTGGAGAAAGACAATGCATTAGACTATCCTGGCTTAATAAGAAAAATGGGTAAAACTGTAAAAATATTTAATTCCCTTCTTTCTAATTACACAGTTGTTCTGCAACCTTCTAGTCCAGGATTGGGATATAGGATTCCTCTCGAGTGCCAGCTTCAATTGACTGGTAGTGGCTGTTGGAAGCAATGAAGTGAAAAGGATGCTGAGGCCACTTCTGGTCTTAGTGGGAAAAGACGCCACCATTGATTAGTGATGTCTGTCAGGAATTGCTGCACATGTGTCATGCCTATAATCTATGATACAGTTGAGGAAATTTGCCTACTAAGATGAATGGTCCGGGAAGACAACCAGACTCAGTTCTGGAATCGGTACATTTACCTTTGTAAATGAACAAATCGATTCTCTGATAACCAGTCTATCTCTGTCAGTCTCACCTGAGACTGCTCATTTGGGTGAGCTGAGAAAATGGAAGGTTTAAACCAGCAATGCTGAAAACATTAAAAGTCCTGGCACAGAATTGCTGCTTCCATGCAAAGGCACTCTTTAAAGGGACTTGTCACTCGTTACCTGGTAGCTTCTCTATGTTTTGCCTGAGGTGTTTACTACATTTCTCCCCTTTCCCTACTTAATATTTGCCAGAGTTTATCCATCAGTCAGTGTATACAAGAGGACAGTCAGATGTAGTTTTCATGTGTAAATTTGGTTGTTACTGGTATTCTAACAGGCTCATCACTGCAACCCCTTGATATTTAAATGAACAATTATTTAAGGTCCCTTTGAGAAGAGATTTGAATCCTGTTTGCTATCTGTCTGAAAGTCTTCTATTTCAACTTAAAAAAAAAAAACAAAAAACTAAGAGAAAGTACAGAATCAGAACTTGCAGAACAGGTTCCAGCAGCTCAGAAGAACATCCCAGAAAGTACAATTTGGTGAAATGCTCTTGTAAGAAATGTTGCTTTGCCAGTGTCCTGGGCAGAAGGCAGGTTGTGTGGGAAAGAGAATGGAGTGTGACAACTCTGCTTTGAAAAGTACTTCAAAGTAGACTCAGAATGTGATGAAATTTTTGGAAAGACAACCAACATAATCGTCTTTTATTGTCTTTAGATGTTCACAAAGGTCTACATGTAGATAAAGTTAAGTCTGTAAGAACTTTTCTAGTATGTATAAAAAAAAGCTTTGTGCCATGTTGGCACCTTTTTTCTTTATCATTGGTACCTCTTCCAGTTGATGGTGTCTTCAAGTGAATAATCTACATCCTGAAAATGTGGGAGCAAAAACTTGATTGTTTGCTGGTTGTCCAAGATCTCTCATCACATCGATTACACACCTAGGATTAGAACTTATAAGACCTCAATCCTTCCCTAAAACCCCTTAAATATTTCCAAGTTCCATATATCAGGGAGAGTGGTTTTAAGAAGCCAAATCATGTACTGGATGTCCAGAAAGATATGGTCAGTCTAAAGTACAGCTGCTCTATAGTCCAGATCAACAAAATTATTCAACATAGGTAGATGTCTGCTGTCCAAGGATAAATTTCAACTGTCAATTTTGTTATAAAAGGAAGACCACACGTTGTCATGTATGTCAATGAATAAATATCTTTGCTGATTACCAACTATGTGAGAAAATACACAAAGACCTACCTGTCTACTTCTCTCTCTTCATCTTTAACTTCATTCTCACAGTAAGGGGACTGTTTTGTGTTAATTTTTTATAATTAATAGTCAGAGAAATTGTTGGATTTCTTTGCCCTATAAAAATTGACATTATTTACCATTTTGGGGTCACAAAATCAGCAAGCTCGCGTGGCTCAGCTTAATATGTGACATGCAGGATGTTCACATAAAGCAGTTGAAATGAAAGTAAGCCCTCTGTTGAGAGCCTTCTATATACAATAGCTCTCCCATTTTAGCTGCTGCCAACTCTAAAGGAGCTGCTCAGTAACATTTTGTATGTAGATGGTTTCCTGTGAAAGTCTTCATTTGAACAACTGTATGTATAATATTCTGTCATTTTTTTAACTCAAACTCATTGCACACTTAATATAGGCTTGGCACTGTTCTCAGTCCTGGATACAAAGATCAGTGAACCACAGTCCTAATTCAGGAGCATGCAGTCTATGAAAGGAGGCAGGCATGGCCATAATTATAATTTCAAAATAACAAGTAGCATAGTAAATATAAGTAACATCCTGAAAAGGAACTCACAATGCCTGGCAGGACAGGAGGACCACAGAACAAGTGACATGTGTGCTGGTCCTTGAAGGATGATCAGTGAATTTGGCAGAAAAGAGAAGGAATAATATAACATCACTGTACAGAATGGCTTACTCAAAGAAGTACAACAATGAAGAGTGTCTTTGAACCTTAGTTCAAATGTAGATAGGACATGCAGCATAATGAGAAAAGTGACAAGAGATGAGGTTTGAGGACAATAAGATCTAGTTATGAAGGCCTTCCATGTGAGACCTAGGTGGTTGCATTTTATTAAGTAGGTGGAAAGACATGACATAACACATTCACATAGACTTACATAGCTTTGGAATAAAGCAATATATATTGTGCTTTGAACTTCTATCCAATTCAGCCATCTCCTAATATCTAGAAACATCACAGAGCAAGTCTGGAACCTCAGCTTCTATAGGCTCTGGCACACATGTGAACTGAAGCAACCTGAATCTCCATGAGCTGGTTTCAGCCCTGACACATCTCTTAAAGTCGTGAGCTGTGGTTCCTCACTGTGGCTACAAGTGTAGCCAAAGACTGAAATATTGTGGGAAACTGTGGCTTTGACAGTTGTGTGCTCCGCCACAGCAGTGTTCTTTCATTCACGTGGGGATGAAAGGAGCTTGCCAATGTACACCTCATGTTTTCATATTTTCCTCAGTGTCTTTGCAAAATGGGTGCTTCTACCTAAATGCAGCTGATTGATTTCATTCAAGCCACAGACTGGAGATCAGTGGCACAGCTTTCTAGTCTCGTATTCTGACATCTGGCATTTCCCACTTATCAAATGAAATGACACGGCAGCAGTACAACAGCTCATCCCTGCACAGAACTTTTTTCCTGAGAAACCTCTTACTTAAGGCTTGCATAATGTTTAATGTGCCATTGTTTATCTCTACAGAGACATCAACCAAAATATACAAAATGTTACCATACATGGAGATGATGTAGATGTGTGTGTGTGCACAAACTATGCATAGACAGACACACACATAAACATATAGGTGACCACCCCATTTGTTTAAATTCCAGATGCATAAAGCTATGTGACTATCAAAAATTCTACTTTGTTTTTAAAATTATGCATATAAATCTATGTGTATATAAATACATGTATATATGTGTACATATATGTGTATAAATGAACTTACTATCCTCTTTATGTTTACTTTCAAGCTGCATAAACTGAGCGTTTCTGAGTGTGTTGAAAATGTGAGTTCCAGAATGAGCTTGCTCTATTCACCTCCGAGTTTTCTGTCCTTGAGCAAATTACAGTCTTTCTGTATCTCAGCTTTCTCATCTGTACAGTGAGAATAATCACCTCATAGGGTTGCTTTGTGAATTAAATGGGGTGTGTATGTAAAGCATTGGGTCATTGCAGTCAGCATTTGAGAAATACTAACAATTAATACCTTATGCATTTCAGAATTGGTTCTTCAATGCGGGGCCTCCAGCACAGACATTAATAATTGCAGAAAAACTAATAGTTGGCATCCTCAAGGCCTATTTTGAGCCAGAAAGTTACTTACCCTAATTGCCAGGCTTCTTCCCAGTTCTGTCTGGCTTTCGGGTGTGTATCTATGCTAGTATCCCTTACTCTCAGACTGTCAGTTGTCATGTTCTGAACTTGCTAATATATAGGAATCTAGCCGTGTTCTTCCTCCCTTTGGACTTCACAGGGAATTCAAATTAGCCCCGTTAAACTTCCATTGAAGCAGGAGTTTAACAATTCTGACTGAACACCCAGGTCTGTGTTTTAGTGTCTGCCCTGTGTGCTATCTATTTTTACTCCTCGAAGATCTTTTCTGCTGATTTCAAGATGAATGGCTCTGAAAAGATATATCCTGCATGATCTCACTTACATGTAGAATCTAAACTAGTCAAACTCATATAAACAAAGCAGAATGGTGAGTTCTAGGGGTACTTCAGTGCCAAACCAGATAGCTAGTACCCCAAATAATTATATTCCCTGCCTGCTCATTCTCCTGACTATGAATGCTTATTAGCAACATCCATTCGAACTTGGAGGCAGTTTTTCTTTAGAAAAGAACTTCTGTACCTTTTCTATTACTTCAAGTATTATAAACCTGGTCCTACAACATAAAGTAAATCCCAGATTTTAGCTGATCCCTCCCCAAAAGGGGCTCATAACTAGTAAATTTGATATTTCAGTAGACTTTTTATATGTAAGGTTTATGTTTTTCAATTTTGAAATAATATAATTGCTCTTATTTTGTCTCTTGGCTATGTCCCTCCCCCCAGTGAGACCCCATCTCCAACAGGCACACACACACTGTGCTCTGTCACATGGTTTCCCAACATGTTGCTCTTTCTTGCCATGGTTTGTGGGTGCTTACACATGCCGCTCCTTCCCTGTGGAATGCCCAATCCTGTGATTATCAAATTATAACACTCATGTAAATGACCAGCTACCTCCCTTTTGAAACTTTCTTCATCTTAGTGGCCTCGGGTGGGCTCCCTCCCGTATGTACTTAAAGAACCTTCTCCCCTACCTGTGTTAGTCTTTACTACTTGCCACTAGTCATAATGAACTGGAAGCTCCTTAAAGAATGCAGCCCCTAAGTCTGTTTTATTTTCCCCTCATCTGTACTTGCATAAGGTAAGTACTCAGTAATTGGGGAGTGATTTCATGACCATCATTTCCCTATTAATTAAAAATCAAGTCAGACCTCCCTGATGGGACAAAGGATAAAGTTACCAGTGCTGTCAAGCTATCACCAGCCACCGCACCATGAGTTCAATCTCCAGCCAGGAAACTAATCTACATGGCACAGCAGACCTCTTCTGTCTCTCCCACTGCTCCCCTCAGCAGTGTGTTTCAGTCAATCTGCCTTTTCTGCTCCCCACCCTGTCTGATGAATCCTCTCACCCCTTCACCTCTGTCCTACACCTAGGTTCTTATATGCATAAGTAAATAAAAATAAACCTTAAAAAATTGCATTTTCAGCTAATTCAGCACATCATGATCTACTCATTCTGAATTTTTAAAAACACACTTCTGATGATCTTATCAAATAATGAAAAATGTAAACACATTTAAGAATATCAGTGTAAGGGACCTTCCTGGCGGTACAAGGGGTTAAAGCACAGCACTGTGAAGCTGTCCACAGCCACTGCAGCACGAATTCCATACCTGACCAGGGAAGTGACCCACATGACACAGCAGACCTCTCCTGCTCCCCTCAGCAGTGTATTTCAGCTGATCCTCCTGTTCTGCTCCCTATTCTGTCTCTAGTGAATCCTCTCACACCCCTCTCCCACTCCCACATCTCTATCCTGCAGTCAAGTTCTTGTGGCATGAATAAATAAATCTATTCATTCATACAGAACTGGGGTACAGGCCAGAGATGCGGAGGGTGAGAGGATTCACCAGAGACAGAGTGGGGAGCACAACAGGCATATCAATGAAGTATACTGCTGAGGGGAGCAGCGGGCGGGTCAGGAGAAATCTGCCGCGCCATGTGGATCTCCTCCGGGGCAGGTGGGGATCGAACTCATGCAGAATCGGCTTAAGCTTCTTAGTGCTGTTCTTTAACCTGCTGCGCCACCAGGAAGGGCCCAAATAAATCTTAAAAAAAGAATATCAGTATAAGCATTTGGGCAAAAAGAGGGATTTAGGGGTAACATCTGGTTGTTTTTCATTATTTGTTGTAAAACACCTTCATTTCCTTGTAATTTTTTTTTTTTTCAGGTTACAAATGCTGTTGCCAATTATCCTGGTCAAATGACTCTGCATCTCAAACCTTTCCTTGTATGTGGAGGGGATGGATTTACTCAGTCCAACTTTGATGGCTGTATCACTTCTGCCCTATGTATTCTGGAAGCATTAAAAAATCATATTTAATGCCTGTATCGTATTCTACTTATACTTTTGAGGGATTTTTTTTTCACAATTTTTTTGTTGCTAATTATTTTGGTTTCTATTTTGTGAAGAGAGTTTTCACAATTTTTTTGTTGCTAATTATTTTGGTTTCTATTTTGTGAAGAGAGATTACTGAAAAATTGTTCTTAACTTATTGTCATTTTTCATATGGAAGGTAAAATCAATTTTATAATTTCAATAGTTACAATCCATGCTAGAATGAAATTTCTTTGTATCTTATGCCTTTGGCCACTTTTCTGAATTGCCATGACTCCTTGTTGGAAGAAAAATCGTGTGTAAATAACAAATGAGCCTCTCTCAAAATGACATCAAATCAAATTAATAGTTCATGTTCCAAAATCTTTATTACCCTTTTCAAACTTTTTGTCCTAAATGAAAAATAAATATTATCATATTTATCAAAAAGTTATCAAGTATTATCTCATTTTAAAACTTTAAATGTATCTTTGATTCAATATTTTTGAAAATTGTTGAACCACAAATTTTCTCCAGACATTGCATAGTAGAGTGTAATTTTTTTGTTTTTCATCTCTTTCCCAAGTAATTAAATGATCCTGAACTTTAGGTCCTGTATGCCATCATTGGTAGGATCACAATGAAGGCAGCTTAACTGAATAATCTCTGTTCAAATTTCAGGAAATAACTGGATTCAATTTGACATCCCAAGTCATACAATACTTGATATCAAAGTGGAGAAAATATATTGATATCTATCTTTTGCTATTTCCTATTGATGTTACTGTTACCCTTATGTGGCCTCCAGTACATGCTATAGCACTTAGACTGTCAAGTTTAATGAATTTAACACACACACACACAAAATAACTGAACCAGAAAATAGATGCACTTAAAATAGTTCAATATTTGTCAAGTTAATGGCTCAGTCTATCAAGCACACACTTCCATGACAACCCCATGACTTGCTGGCTGAAGAGAAGTTGATTTCTAGCTTTCTGAATAACAAGTTACCTGTTGCTAATTTGAAAAATAAATGCTGAGTACTTTTTTGTCATTTTGTAAGGAAAGAAATTGTTGCAACCTCTCAATTCCAAAAAGACTTCTTATCTTGGTAGTGTTAACATTTCACATGCTCACTATCATACACACATATACACAAGCCCAGGCAGACCTTGCTTAAATATTTACAATCATCTGATGAAAAAC